ATACACTAATGTGATTTGACTAATGTACAGTGTGGGCATGTGATTGGATGGTGAGGTAAGTCCATTGATGTGAATTTTATATGTTATGGGGTAGATTGCATGTCTGACTTGTCTGGGTACGCATTGGCCTATGTGGGGTATAGGGGGTTGCTTATTGAGACTCGTTCTCACGGTTATTATATAACCATTTTCAGATCTGCGACCGTGATTGATTGGAGACGCCACCAGGGTATCTCGGGGATGGAGGACGGGTCAAGTTACTCCATATTTTGTGTGCCCCTCTTTTGTATAGCGAAGTAGGATACCCCACCACTATTCCCTTTTGATGTTGTGTATTTGGAATTATTATTTTGTGCTATCCCTTTGTCATATTTTATTGTCTGGGTTGTTTTAAATTCGCTTCCGCTTGCCTTTATCTCTGATGTTTGAGTTGGGTCGGCGACGTGTCTGGGACGTCGCATTCAATGATCGACCATCGCGGGATGATCGCGCGCTCGTAGGGTGCGGGGCGTGACAAGGAAAACTTATGTTTTTGCAAAAATGGCACCCCCATATAAGATTAGAGAGAGCGAAGGTCACCTCTGTGCCTATTTGGGTCCGTCTTTATAATATCCCCCATGTTCTCTAGACCAAGAAAGGTTTAAGTTATGTCTATAGTGTTCTTGGTAGACCTTTATATATGGACTCGGCCACTGAACAAAAACGGCGGTTGTCTTATGCGAAAGTATGTATCCTAATGAATGTAGATAGCTCATTCCCAAGGAAATTCGATATCGACATGGGTAAGGGCGGCTTCTTTGAGGCCACGGTTCACTACAGCTGGTTACCTGTTAAATGCAAGACTTGCAATAGCTTTGGCCACAAAGATTGTAGAGCTACAAGTAAAGAAATCTGGGTTCCTAAGACCCAAAAAAATGTTGCCCCTCCTAACTCAGTCTCAACTCATCGGGGGACGACAGCTACTGAAGAAGTCGAACGGGTTACTCCGGTTCCATCGAATCCATCTCCCACCCCGAAGAATATTGCTAACCCCATGGTTACCCAGTCGAATGCCCATGCTGATGTAAGGTATGATCCTTCTTCCTCACAATATACGCTAGTTGGTAGAAAGGAAAGAGTATCAAACAGTAGAAACAAAGATGACAACAATACAGTGCCTTCTGATAATAGATTTGCTCCTTTGGAAGTGGAGGCTACTTCGGATTGTTCCGTGGATACATTGGGGGCATTGGGGGATGTAACGGAGCCTCCTGATTTATGAATATTGTCGCATGGAATGTAAGGGGCCTTAATCATAGCCCCAAGAGAAGGGAACTGGTGGACTTTGCTCTATCCCTAGATTCCCAAATTCTTCTTTTGTTTGAGCACAAGATTAAAGAAGAGAATGCTGATTTTATAATTGACAGTAGTTTTAGAAGTTGGAGTTATACTCATAACTATATGTACAGCAACTTGGGTAGAATATGGATCCTATGGAAACCGTCCACGCTTAGTCTAACCGTTTTGGAGGTATCTGCCCAAGTCATACATTGTCTCATTGAAAAACCTGGGGTGGAACCTTTTTTGCTATCTGCCATCTACGGGTACAATACCGAAGTTGAGCGGAGGCTTCTTTGGCGCAATATTTCAAATTTTTCTTCCGGACAAACAAGAGACCTGCCTTGGTTGTTAATGGGGGATTTCAATGAAACAAGGGACACAAGCGAAAGGATTGGCTCGACTCTTCATTGGACTGCAGGTATGGAGGAACTAAATACCATGATTGAAGAACTTGCACTTATTGAACCTCCGTCTACGGGACCTTTCTTCACATGGACAAACAAAAGCATGGGAGATAATTTCAAAGCGAGCAAAATTGACAGAGTCCTGATTAATGCAGAATGGCAGAACAAATACAACCACTATTCAGTCGAATTCCTACTTCTAGGAGTTTCAGACCACTCCCCATGCTTGGTGCGACTTGACACCACATATAGGAGAAGGAAACCTTCTTTCAAATTCTTTAATTTCTGGACCACTAGCCCGGGTTTCGTGCCGTTGGTGTCCACTTATTGGCAACAGGTTATCAGAGAATATAGAATGTTCACAGTGGAGGCAAAGCTCAAAGCACTGAAACAACAACTCAAGGGACTGAATAGATCTCAGTTTGGTGACTTACACTTAAAGGTCAAACAAGCTAAGGAGAACCTAAAACAACTTCAACCGGAGCTTGTGATTGACCCCTTTAATCCCATTACTCGGGCGGAAGAAAAGGCGCAACTGAAAGAGTTACTTGTTCTTAGTAAACATGAAGAGGTTTTGCTTAAGCAGAAATCTAGAAATCTATGGCTGAAGGAGGGTGACAATAATAGTAAGGTTTTCTTTGCCTCCATGATGCGGAGGAGTGCCCAGAACAGGATCAATCATATCAAACTCGAGGATGGCTCTACTATTACCGAGGAGGGTGCTCTCAAGAATGCAATTATAACGTATTATCAGTATCTCCTTGGAAATCCCAGTCTTACTAGCATTCCATACGAGAGATATGCTTCTTTATTTCATGAAGATATCAATACTCTTGTTACCTTTCTTGTAGTTCAGAGATCGGAAATCCTCAGAGTCTTGAAAGGTTTCAACGACTTTAAAGCTCCGGGTCCAGATGGCTTTAATAGTCTATTCTACAAAAGCGCTTGGCACATCATAGGGAAAGACATTGAGGAAGCTATCATGGAATTCTTCTCGTCAAAAAGAATGCTGAAGTCTATAAATTCCACGTTGATTACACTCGTACCGAAGGTTCAGAATCCATCTTTCCTCAAGGAATTCAGACCCATTTCTTGCTGCAATGTCATATACAAGATCATATCTAAGCTTCTTGCAGAACGGATTATTTGCATGCTTCCGAAGATTGTCGGCCTCAACCAAACTACTTTCATCAGCAGACGACAAATCTCGGAGAATATTCTGCTATGCCAAGACCTTCTACACAACTACCACAAGGGAGGAAATGGTAAACGGGTGGCAATAAAGATTGACCTCATGAAAGCCTTTGACATGGTAAAATGGGATGCACTCCTCGGGGTTCTCAAAGCTATAAATACTCCTCACGACTGGGTTGCTCTGATAGTTGAATGCATTACTACTCCGACATTTTCAGTGAACTTCAATGGTGAGCAGGTTGGCTATTTTAAGAGTACGACTGGGCTACGACAAGGAGATCCACTTTCTCCATACCTTTTTGTAATGGTTATGGAAATCTTTAACAGAATTGTTCGTGCGAAAGTTACTGCTTCTTCTTTCAAGTATCACTGGCGTTGCAAAACACAACGAATCACACACGTATGCTTCGCAGATGACTTGTTATTATTTTCCCATGGAGATGTAGATTCCGTCCTTTGCCTTGTAGACGCCCTAATCGAATTTGCAACTCTCACAGGACTGCGTTTCAACCCGGACAAATGTCAAATCTTTTTCTCTAGGTTGAATGAGGATAAGAAGCACCTTATATTGGACCACACGCCGTTTTCTATAGGTACCCTCCCCATCAGATACTTGGGTATCCCCCTTGTTATCAGAAGACTTACCCACACAGACTGTAAGAGTCTTACTGATAAGATCTTCAAGAAAATTGAAAATTGGGGCATGAAGCATATCAGTTATGCAGGGCGTCTACAGTTAGCCAAATCAGTCCTCATCTCCATATGCACCTATTGGATGCAAATGTTCCTACTTCCAAAGCACACTATATACGAGGTTGAGAAGAGGATTAGACAATTCTTATGGGCTGGTAATTCAGCAAATCATGGCTCGTACAAAGTTGCATGGCAAGTAGTATGCTCACCTAAAAGGGAAGGAGGTTTAGGATTGCCTAATTTGAACTTATGGAACAAAGTATTGCTAGGTCGCATGCTGTGGAATCTTATCAATCTTCCATCCTCTTCCCTTTGGAGTACTTGGGTTCACAACACCAAATGCAGAGGCACCCCAATTATGCAGCTCGACATCAAGGGCAGTATGGCTTAGAGCTGGAGATGTCTCCTCAAACTGCGACCCGTTCTAACATCGATTATACCGAGCCCAAAACACTGTTGCCAAGATATATATGATGAACTCAGACATGTGAGACCAACCGTGAAGTGGTATGACCTAATTTGGACTAGCGGCATTAGCAAACACAATTTTATTGGTTGGCTAGTTTGCAGAGATAGACTACCTACGGCAAGAATCGTCGCATAATGGATACCTTCAGTTGATATTCAGTGTAATTTCTGTAGGGCTGGTATTGAAGACAAAACACATTTATTCTTCGAGTGTGAATGGACAAACAACATATGGCGTTGTATCCTAGCACAACATGGGATCAGACGCCTTTTAGAAGGATGGAATGAAGAACTTCAATGGATGATTAGGGCAACAAAAGGCAAAGACTTGGCAGCAAGACTCCTCAAGTTGTCCTTTCTAGCTACCATATATTGCATTTGGATGGAGCGCAACAGCAGACGGTTTCAAAACAAGTCAACTGACTTTCATATTCTTTTGGCTAAGGTTCATAAAAATGTCAGAGGTAGAGCTTCGCTCTACCAAAAAATTAAACCTTCCCAAACAGATGTTGTATTAGCTACTATATGGAGACTTCCTACCTCCATCTTTTTGAATTATTAGCACTTTTTGTAATGTTGGGAGATGCCCCTAAGCTGCTGTACTTCATCTGGTTTATAATACTTACATTCACACAAAAAAAAAAAAAAGCCTTCGAAAAAAGAAGTGTTCTTGCGGGCATCGGATACGACCTCGGTGGGTCCCAGTATGGATTATTGATTTAGGCTTGCATGGATGATCAGAATTCCAATCTTCAATAGCTCCAGTCGGTCATTGACGTTGATAATTAGATTCATCGGGCTTTGGATTTGCTAGCCTCAGGTGAGCATCAATGTTTACTTGTTATCCATGTTGTGAGAAGTCTCTAGCTTTGGACCGACTAGACTAATATCTTTTGATCCACAGTGAGACAGAGAACAAAAATGGCAAAAGCTGTTTTCGGTATAGCTGGAAAGATTATTGCTAATCTGGTTCCTGAAGCAGTAGAAAAGGTTGGAAAGTTATGTGGCATCAAGCATGAACACGAGGCACTCAGGGACACGATCTCCACTCTTTTGGCTATGTTGACGCTACGGAAGAGCAATACCACCGGATGCAAGTTCGGGTTGATCAACTCGATAGAAGCTTTCTCCGATGCACATGATGTGCTTGAAGAATTTAATATAGAAGCTATGCGACGAGAACTGAGGGGCCATAGTAAAATGATGAAGGAGGTAAGGACATTTTTCTCAAGTTCAAACCAGCTTGGTTTTAAAATGAAGATGAGTTGCAAACTAAGAGCAGTGAGGGAGAGAATAGATGCCATTAAGGCTGATAAGGGGTTCCACTTTGACGAGTACCCCAAGGGAGAGCCGAGGAAAAGAGAAGAGACGCATTCGTTTATACGTGAGGGAGAAATTAGAGGGAGAGATGAAGATAAGAAGGCGGTCATGGAATTTTTACTGGATTCAGATGTGCAAGAGAACGTTTCCATTCTTCCAATAGTTGGTTTTGGGGGGATTGGAAAAACAGCTCTTGCTCAATGTGTGTATACTGATGAGATGGTTAGTAAACAGTTTAACTTGAAAATGTGGGTTAGTGTCTCTGATGACTTTGACATGAAAAAAATAGTGAAAAATATGATAGCTTGTGCAAAGAAAAAAGAACCAACTGAGGTTGCGATGGAACAGTTGCAAAGTGTGCTAAAGGAAGAGATTGATGGAAAGAGATACCTATTAGTTTTAGATGATTTGTGAAATAAAAATCGGGAAACATGGCTGCTCTTGAAAACTTTATTGTCGAGAGGTGCTAGAGGAAGCAAGATCCTTATAACTACATGCCTTCGTTTGGTTGCGGAGATCACCGGCACTACACCGCCTCATTTTCTCAAGGGCTTATCTGAAAGTGCGTCTCTTGATTTATTAATGCAAATGGCTTATCAAAAAATTGAGGAGATACAAGATCTTGACATGCTAGCTATTGGTAAAGAGATAGTTAGAAAGTGCTCTGGGATTCCATTGGTTATTCGAACTGTTGGGGGTTTACTCTTCTTTAAGAAAACTAAACTCGAATGGTTACTATTCTAACAATATGAGCTCCCAGATGTGTCTCAAAGGGAAGAAAACATAATGTGTGTTCTTCAGCTAAGTTATGATCATCTTCCTTCACATTTGAAACATTGTTTTGCATTTTGTTCATTGTTTCCAAAAGATTATGAGATCAAGAAGCAGACTTTGGTCAATCTGTGGATGGCAGAAGGATTTTTTGAGCCATCAAAGAGAAGTTAGGATCTAGAAGACATTTTTCATGGATATTTCATAGATCTACTTTGGAGTAACTTCTTCCAAGATTTACAAACAGATTCATTCACGAACAAGGATACTTGCAAGATGCCTTCTTTGATGCATGATCTAGCCTGCTCAGTTGCAAGGTCCGAGTGTTGGGTGGCTTGTTATGAACCTAAATTTATAAATAAAAGAATTCATCATATATCTCATGGTTTAATTTCCAATTTGATAGGTGACCCTCGAATCTCACACTTGAAAGCAAGTTCACTGAGAACGTTTCTTTCCGTGCCTACATCTCACGAAATGGAACAAAGAGATCCAACAACTGAAGTAGATCTACGCTAGCTCATTCAAAGTTTCAAGAGGCTGCGCATCTTGGATCTGCATGCCCTAATTGTCAAGAAGGTGCCAAGGTCCATTGGTAGGTTGAAGCATGTCGCGACCTAAATTTCTCAGGCTAATGGATTATTAAGTCTCAACTTAACTCGGGCCCTCCCAAGCCCTACCAATTCACAACTTAGGGTTTAAGTTTTTAACATGCAAAAGTTTTCATGCTTGGAGTCGCTACTAATCTATTTGTGGTAGGTCGATTAGAAACCTAAATAAAACATAGGGAGATATGTTTTATTCCTACGAACCAGAGATTCTAAGCTCGGGGACTTGGTTACGCTAGATCTAGTCTAACGCCCTTCGGCACCTTTTCTTTTCAAAATATTTATGCAGGCAGTCTGAATCCATTTTATTACCTAATTACTAACATGTGAAGTGTTCATGCAGGTGCGCAAACCACCAATTTAACACCCAAGAAAGCAATAAATAAATTGCAAGATTAGGAGAATGACGTACCTTAGAGCAATGCAAGCATCTGCATTGTTAATAGAAAATCACACAAACAATACTAATATGATTTCTAATTAACAAAACAAGGCACTCAAGATGTTCTTTAGGGTTTGAGCTTTATTAAAATGCAAACTAACCTATATGCAATGACATGCAAAAAATGACATGCGATTAATGCAACCTAACATGCGAACTATATGTCATGCGATGACGTGACCTAATTCTAATGACAGACAAATGATTTATTTTTGGTATTTTTCCAATGAAATTCGAAATAAAAAAAATGTCTAAATTAACATGCAATCTATCTTAATCTGTCCTAAAGTGACTTATTTTTTTTTGGGATTTTCATGGAAATTCGGAATCTAAAAATAACCTAAAAATCTATTAGGATTAGAATAACACCTAATTTAAACTACGAAATAAATTATCTCAAGTCCTAATTTAAATTAAATAATTATCCTATCTTCTAGATACATTTAGGGTTCCCTAAACACACAAAACTTCTAATTTAAATCCTAACTAACATATTTTTGGATTTTCTTTATTTAAAAAAAACAATCAAACAAAAATAACAACCGCATTCAAACAATCCATGCAATCAGCAAGATTCTTCTTATCAAATTTGAATTAGGAAAAGAAATCAAATTAACAGTTATATCTATAATGTTATAGATATCAATGGAAAACTGATTATTCGAATTTGGAAAGCGAATAAAATCTATGATCGTATCCAAGTAATTATGGATAAGATAACTATTTTCCGTATCGCCACGTATTGTACCTTAGGGATAAGGTCGGATAGTCGTCCAAATACATTGCCAAATTAGAAAAAATTTCTAATTTAGGGTATCTTAGAATATTGCGGATATCGCAAATATTATCCTAAGATATCTAATCAATCACGCAATATTCACGGAATATTCAAACTAAGAATTTAAATATTTTGAAAATATACCGGATAGAGATTTTTACCTAATTTGCGGATTAGTTTCCAAATTTGAATCATTGGCGGATCAGGATCGCGGAATGGCCAATGGCGAGTGACCGACGGCGGCTCAAGGTGGTGTTCTGGTCAACCGGGGGCGCAGTGGAGGACTTGCAGCAACTATTGGACACTCGTGCTCGAAGAGGATTCACGACAATGATTGTCGATCTTGGACCACGATGAACGCTTTTGCCCTCGCGTTCTCCTCGTTTGTGAATGATCCAAAGTGCACCCCTTTAGAACCTTCTCGCCACTTCACTCACGAATCACACCTGCACACAACGGAAATTTCTTTCGTTTTTCTATTTTAGTAACAACCGTCCAACGAACACGACACCCAAAGATCTCCGGCACAACTTCGTGCTATTGGGATTGTCCCAGCGATTGGTTCGGTGAAGCTCGGCTTCGCCACTAGCAGCAGTGGGGAAGAGGCTGATGTTGATCTTTTGCCAAGGAAGAGCTTGCGGTAGTGAGGTTCTCGACGGCAGCAACTCGTCGTTGGTGTAGCAGGAGTGTCGGGCATGAGATGCTTCGTGACCTGGCTGCTTCGTTCTCAGCCAGGGGTGCAGTGACCGTGAAGGTTGTTGGCGACGGTGAAAAGGCACGCCGGTGTGGAGGGTCTGCTTGGTCGTGAGGCTCAGCTAAGGGAGGGGCCAAGACTCCTCTTCTCTATTTCGATCCCTCCTCTCAATCTCTGCATCATATTTTTTGTCGTGCTTTCCCTGAACGTGGCACTGTCTCTCTAAATCGTGAAGCCCCTCACGATATCTTCTTCTCCATGTGCCAAACTCTCTACTGTGGCCGTGTATGTAGGGTTTTTTTTTGCTTGCAATTATTTCCTATTTTGATTCAAAGAAAATATTGCAATATCTCTGTGATAATATCAATTCATTCAATTTGAATCTTGATAATGTCAAGATTAACAAATCAATATTTTCCAACTCGACATTTTCCGATGAAAATTTTAGCTTTTATAATGTTCATGGGCTTGGCCAAGAATTTTCTTGAACTCATGCTTAGTCCAATTTTATTAAGTTCAGAGCTGTTCACTTGAGTCCATCCGCCGCCAGTCCAATGCAAATGCAGTTATATAGACTTAAATACTAATTCAAATGCTCCTAATCTATATGCGATTTAATTAATTTTTTGTCTAGGGACTAGGATCGATTCCTAATTTTTTATGCAATGAACGACTAACTGAGTCTCCAAAATTTAGGTGTCAACAAAGCATCTCACGTATCTCAATCTCTCTCACAATGATGCACTCAAAAGGCTTCCTAACTCCATTACGAGATTGCAAAATTTCCAAACACTTAATCTCCAAGGTTGTTCTACCCTTGAAGAATTGCCAAGGGGGATAAGGAAGTCGGTCAGCCTTCGAAATCTAAACATAGATTATTGTTACAGTCTTAGTTATGTGCCACATGGACTAGGGAAATTGAGTTCTCTGCATAGACTAACACGCTTAATTTTGCCCAAAGGTGAAGCTCTTGCTAAGAATTATTGTCGACTTAAGGAGCTAAATGGCTTAAAAGTATCCGTGGAAGCCTTAGCATTGAAAATTTGGGACACTCAAGACATGCATTAGTAGAATCCAGGGCGGCAAACTTGATAGAAAAGCATTCTCTGGAATCTTTGATACTTAAATGGGGCTATCTCATCCTTACCAAAAAAAAAAAAAAATGGGGCTATCTCGATACTGATGATGCAGTAATTGGCAATACAGATGAAGATATATTAGATGTACTGAGGCCGTACTCAAGTCTGTAGAAGTTGACAATCGACAGATATGAAGGTAAGAGCTTTCCAAAGTGGATGATGGATAGCGTCTCCTTGCAAAATTTAGTTGAGGTACACTTCCGGAGATGCGGAAGATGTAAACATCTCCCTCAATTGGGTCGACTACCTAACCTCAAGTCTTTAGCGATTTGGAGGCTCCCTGAATTGGAATACATCGAGTCAGACCATTCCTCCACTTTTGAATTGGAATCCATTGAGTTAGACTATTCCTCCACTTCAACAGCATCATTTCCGAGTCTATTGAGATTAGAGATCCGTCACTGTGAAAACTTGAAAGACATGCCACCAACTCCATATCTTGAGGATTTGATTCTGAAGAAGGTCAACCAAAAGTTGATAAATCAGATATTTGGCCTTAATAAGTTGAAGAGTACGGATATCTCTCAGATGGAGTTTCTAGATTGTTTTGCCGAGGAGTGTTTGCAAAGTCTCACTTCGCTTGAATGTCTTGTCATCAGTGAATGTCCTCGGTTAACTTCCTTCTCACACGGCATGCAACATTTGTCGAACCTTGTGCATCTCTCTTTTTCCAACTGTGAGGAGCTCGATTTATCCAAAGATGAAAGCGACAACATCTTTGATTTGCAAGGACTTAAGAGTCTCCGGTCCGTGGACATCCATGGTGTTCCCAAACTAGCATCTCTCCCACAGTGGCTTCTACAGGCCAGCAATCTCGAGCATCTTTCTATTAAAAAGTGCTTAAATCTGAAGGCTTTACCAGAGGAGATCAAGGCCCTTCAGTCACTTCAACAGCTTGAAATCATCCGGTGCCCCTCGCTGACGTCATTACCTGAAGGAATGCAAGGGTTTGCATCCCTTAGTCAACTAAAAATAGCAGGTTGCCCAGAATTGGAGGAGAGGTGCAAAGAAGATGCAGGCGAGGACTGGTACAAGATTAAGCGTATCCCACACATAACTCACAAGCTCGAATACTATGAACGCCACTTATGACTAGAAATTCTCCACTTTTCTTTTTGTAGGTATGTGGACCATTTCTTCCCAGTATTTACATAAGTAATTACTTTCAAATTATGTTTCGATACTTGATTCAATTGGGGGACATGGACAGATAAAGGTTTGGACACATCGCTGGATGCAGGTATTTACAGGGCGTGGAAACATTGACATCGATGTGGCTGTTCCTTCAGGATAGCCCTCAATGGGATATCCCTAAACAAAGTGCTCGCTTTATTCCCAAAAGTGCAAGAAAAACAAAGAAAATTCATACTCCTCATCCAACTCCGAGCTCATTAAATCTGGCTCTTGACTCACGCTGTAGATATAGTGTGAACTCTACTTATTTGATTTCACAAGGAGTACAAAGCCTGCACAGTTCGATGATCTGGAAGTTGACATGAAATAGTCTCACAGATGAAGTGATTAAATGGTTCTTTGAAGAAGGGCTTCTGGTTTGCTTCTCGTAGAAATAACTTTATCGCAATGTGTTCACATAGAATCAATATTTTTTCATCAACTGCATATTGAATACAGAAATCAAATTTCTATTTCCCTGATGTTCCGTCATTCTTTTTCGTTCATTTTCAGTCCTGGAAATCGATCAAGGTCAGCTCGACATCGTTGGGCTTCGTTCTGATTGGAAGAGCCACCTTCGTTTTTCCCCTATTATTCTTATCCAACTTGGTTAGGAAGTCTAAGTGCGAAAAGATCGATTTGGAGAAGCAGGTTGGAGATTATAATTTTCTAGTTGAATTTTCTGCGTATGAGGTAGTCAGCATGATGGATTTTCCTAATTTAACTCTGATATGCTCAGGTCACAATTTGGTGGGCAGAGCTTATGCATGGCGCTGTCTCCATGGCACTTGCTTATCACCAGGTAAGATGATCGGATAATGCGCATTCCAGGAGACTTTCCACAAGGAATTCCATAAGATTCTTTCTATTCCTAGCAATACGATGAATGTGGTCACCAGAGAAGCCTTTTTTAAGAGGTTTTACTATGTTTCCTCGCCTTCATCCGACACATATAATGCTCTGAAGTTCATTTTCCGTGCGCACAGTTTACTCAGTCCGACACGAAATTGAAAGGCAATGTGTTTATGATCGCAAGAACCATCACGGTCATTCTGTTTAGCCCTGTGGTAAGATGGCGTTTCATATGCCGAGTCTAATTGGTGGCATAACATGTACCTTATTCCTCAAGGTATCATTCTTCGATACAGGTGATGGGGCCTTGACTAAGCCTCTAGTGTAAATCTTGCTTCCCACGACCAAATACTTTGCCAGCACGAAACCTTCCGAGCCATCAAGTCCAAAATCCTTCACTCAGCCACTGCTCAGTAACGGACTCAACTTGGAGTCTCACCAGAACGGCAAAAGCATACTGCAACCGACCAGTTTGTGCAAGCTCCTGAGCACGCACTCTCACGAGATGCACCATTACTGGCGAAAATTTGTTGATGCCTTCATGAGGCCCGTGTTTGGCGGGCGAGGTTTCGTGCCTTCCATCCCATGCTCGCCCACCGATCAAGACGATCATCAGTGGCTCCTACGAAAGCCAAGGATGAGATCAAAGAACTAATGATTTTGTTAGGTGGTTTGTAAATAGGACACATTGATACCCAGGTTTATCTAAGTGTGAAGCTTCACGACTTTGACGAGACTGATGGCGTATACGGGGACAGTAGCGCCAATTTGTTAGGTGGTTTGTAAATAGCACGCCTTCTTTTATTCTTTCACTTTCATTTGCTAACTGCCGCAGTTCATTCTTCCATCTACAATCAGTTTTGTGTGGTTCGGGTAAGTTTTTGGTTGTGAAGGCATCGATTTCCAATCTGATTTTTTCCCATGGTGATTGTTTACATGAATTTCCACAAACCAGCCACTGATTAGTTTCGCCTCTTTCTAATTAGTTTGTGGTGTAAAGCGGTTTTTCCTGCACTAATTTTTAGCAAACGACAATTGACTTGGTCCGCTAAGTGTGTAGAATCCTCCTACTTTCGATCTTTTCCTTGGACATGATTCCGGTAATTCTCGTGTCAGCTAATGTTCACACCTATTTGCCATTGGTTGCAGGCACATTCTTGCCACTTTGCTGTTTGTCGCCGAGATCTTCATCTTCCTTTACATTGGAATGGAAGCGTATCGAGAAGTGGGGAGTTGTCAGCAATAGGTAATGACAAGTCTTTGTTACATTCTACATTTGTCAGGCAAGGTTTGCATGACGGGATCCATCTTCCTGATGTTTCGTGTTTCTTCTTCATTCATTCTCAGTCCTGGAGAAATCGATCAAGGTCAGCTCGATGTTGTGGGACTCTGTTTTGATTGGAAGAGCCGCCTTTGTTTTCCCCCTGTCGATTCTTGTTTAACTTGGCTAGGAAGTCTAAGTACGAAAAGATCCATTTAAAGCAGCAGGTTAGAAACTAGAATTTTCTTGCGGATTTTCCTGCCTATGAGGTAGTCAGCATGATCGAGTTTCCGAACTAAACTCTGACATGTTCAGGTCACATTTTGGTGGGCAGGGCTTATGCGTGGCACTGTCTCCATGGCACTCGCCTATAACCAGGTAAGATGATTGGATAATGCGCATTCCAGGAGACTTTTCACAAGCAATACCATGAGATTCTTTTTATTCCTAACAATATGATGAATGTGGTCGCCCGAGATGCCTTTTTTAAAGAGTTTTTACTATGTTTCCTTGTCTTAATCTGACGCAAATGCCTGCTCTGAAGGTCATTTTCTGTGCGTGCAGTTTACTCGGTCTGACACGAAATTGCGGGGCAACGTGTGTACGATCGCACGAACCATCACGGCCATTCTGTTTATCCCTGTGGTAAGATGGCGTTTCATATGTCGAGTCTAATTGGTGGCATAACATGTAACTTGTTCCTCAAGGTATCATTCTTCGATACAGGCGTTTGGACAGCTGATGAAGCCTCTGGTGAGAATCTTGCTTCCTTCGACCAAATACTTTGTCAGCATGAAATCTTCCGAGCCATCAAGTCCGAAATCCTTCATGCAGCCACTGCTCAGTAACGGACACAACTTGGAGTCTCACCAGAATGGCAAAAGCATACTTTGACCGAGAAGTTTGTGCAAGCTCCTGAGTACGCCTTCTCACACGGTGCCCTATTACTGGCGAAAATTCGACAATGCCTTCATGAGGCCCCTGTTCAGCCAGGAGGTTTCGTGCCTTTCATTCCATGCTCGCCCACCGGTCAATGCGATCATCAGTGGCTCTAACGAAAGCCGAGGATGACATCAAGAGCTAATGACTTTGTTTGATGGTTTGTAAGTAGGACACATTCATACACAGGTTTTTTCAAATGTGAAGTTCGACCACTTTGACAAGATTGATAGCGTGTACGGAGAGCAGCTGCATTTTATTCGACGCAGCCACTTTGCATTTTTGTGATAGAGGAATCTGGTTTCTTCCCCTTGTTTCTCTCTTTTGTTGTTTCTATCTTTGGTCTTGGGCTTGTATTAAGAGAATGAATGGCTTTTGTAACCTCCTCATCGCTGGATGATATCTGAATGTCTGAAATTCATTGCTTCATCAACTGCTTCTGTTCTCTTTTCCAACAGCTGAGCTTTTGAAGCTATCAGAGTTTATGTGCATTGACATCCGCCAGCCTGGCATCGCATTTAGGCATCGATTTAAATATGCACCGCACCATTAAATCGAGTTTCCATCATGCAGGGGCATATTGCGATTCTAGTTAGTAGTTAGAGAGTGAAGGAGGACAAATTTTGTCAAGATATTTAAGTGGATTCTCACTACACAAGGCACATTTTTGCTGGTAACCTAACTACAACCATCCCTTTCAGCACAACATTGCAAGCCATGGACATTTATGAGGGCTTAGCCAATAAATGAAAGTTGGGCCATTGATCTTAACTCTTTCTTCTCCAAATTCACATTTATGAAGTCACATTTAGACTTCTCATAATTAGAGTCTAAAAGAAAGTCTTAAAGAAGGGATGTGGCTAGACTTAACCCTGTTTTAAGCAGAACTGTGGCATCTCAAATTACATTTAGGAATTGATCCCAAAAAAATTACATTCAGGAACATGAAAAGTACAATGCAGCTTCTTGGATGCCCCGCGAGTTAATGCACTACTTTTGTTCTTTTTATCTTCGTACTTTTTTTTTTTTAGCTTGAGGCTACTAGCTATGAAATAAGCTGAGTAATGAATCCATATTGGGTAGAGATGCAATCGTACCCTTGAGCTTGCGGTGGCCATGGTTGCTTGAGCTCACTGTCATAACCGCTCAGATTAGTGGCAGCAAGTAAGTACGGTTTTGAGCTCAAGGCCTCTCAAGCTTTGAGCTCATGACAGCCATGGATGCTCGGTTTGAGCTCATGGGGACCATGGCTACCTAAGCTTTGTAGCTCGAAACTCAAGCGGCCATGACCACCAAGAGCCGAAGCTCGAGTGACCATGCGGCCTCGAGGTTCGCTGCTCAATGGCTGTCGCGAGCTCAGAGCTTGAGCTCGCCATTATGGCAGTTGTGATAGACTCCTCCCTCTCTCTCTCTATCTCCATTTTTCTTTTTTCTTTTCTATTGTCTGATGTGACATTTAATTTTCATGTCAGCAGGCGCGATGAAGAGAATGTACATGTGAAATAACACATCGGAACTTCAATAATTAGATGGAAACTTGATAAGGACCAACTATAAGTATCAACTGAAAGTGGGCACAAACAAAAATAAGTTAGTATCAAAATAGGAATTCGAGTCCAAGTTGATCATTTTAAGCGAAATAGGCCCAATTTCCATCGCAATTCAACCCTATTCCTCCCATCAACCAAATAGTGTCCAAAAAGACAATAGGCCTTTCTACTCATTCAAATGGCTTCCTTCTCGATTCCGCTCTTTTCCCTTTTAATCTCCACCGAAAAAATCACCGAAGATAAAATTAGCAGTTTCATACACTTCATGAAAAATGCTTTCTAGTGTTTTTTACTATATCACATGAATATCACAAGATAGTTTCCCCGTAATTTGAAACCTTTAGTTTATTCCAATCTGTAAATGACTTTGCGCAATCTACTCAGATGCCACATGTGAATTTGACCGTCATAATAGAGCCAAAACTCAACACAAATAAGAATAGAAGACAAAAGACAATCTAACACAAAAACACAATGAATGATTTAGGCCCAAAAAAATTAAAATCTTAAAGTGATAGAATATAGTTTTATTTAATTGTCATAATATTGATACATTAATGCATAATAAATTTCTATCATATGTGATTTAAGGTGTCAAAATAGGTTGAAAGCCCACTTTTTAATCCATATTCACTGGTACGAGTCATGTATGGATTAGCTGCTTCCTCTCTCACCCCAACGGCTTCTTTGTCCGCCAAGCCTACCATCAGGAGGCTTGCTCGCAGGGCAGGCGTCAAGCATCAGCGGCCCGATCTACGAGGAAACCCGATGATTCCTCTAGATTTTTTCGGAAAATGTGATCCGCGATACCATGACCTGCACCGAGCAGTGAGCACGCCTAAAGAAAGACGGTGACGGCGACGGACGTCGTGTACGCGCTCATGAGGCAGGGCCGGACTCTGTACGGGGTAGGAGGGATCTTCTTGGGGCCCAATAGTTTTCTTTTTTCTCTTTGGGTATTTCCGTGATGTATTCAAGGTCTAGTGAAGTTACAGGGTTGAAGACAGAATTCATTTGTTAGCCGAGTTTTGTTGCTAGTGTTCTCTTATGTCAAACGCAGTATTTTTGTTCTCCTTGAATTGTTCTTTTTTTTTTTATTCCTTTTGTTCAATCCTAGATTGTTTCGTTAGGGATGGACTACATTGCACGCCCCAACTGTTTGATAAAATGCTTAACCGAGCAGGCGTTCGCACGAATTGTGACCAAAGTTTTGTTCTTCCGGAAATAACTACAATCGATTACTACCAAGGATCTTTCCCATCAATCCATGGAACTCATACAGCTATGATTCGACGGAGCATGATTTAACTTTCTGAAAATGTTCAGGATGTTGTTGGGTTTGACAAGCTTTATGCTTGTGAAAATGGGCTTTGTTAGGCCTGCTGCAATACGACCAAGTTTGCTTTGCCAAGTTAGTGCGGGAAAATTGGCTGATAAGAATTACCAGTGCTTTGTCTAGGGTGTGTTGTTCTTCGGCACGTATGAATGGGATATGGCAGGTCCCACTTCAGCGTGGGGTTTCTAAACTTTGGTTTTTCTCTGTCAGCACGTGGTGTGTGTAAAAACATAAAAAAATGACTCGGTGAACCGAACCATGAAGTCTCCCCTTCACTCACATGAAGAGTTTAGAGTTGATTAAATGGATTGGTACGAGTTTTCCTAAATTGTATAAAATATGGATGTGTTTTGGTAATATGTGTCGTGTCGGGTATAGGTTGACCATGTATCGAGTCAGGTATGGATCGATAAATCTGTATTACATGGAAATAAGTCAAAATGGGTTAAATTGGCCAATTTAGGCCGAACCATTTTCGACTCGATCCACCCGTTTGACGGACCTACATATGATCCTGTTGTTATCATGGTAATTATTCATTCATGAAAAGGAAAGAAGTAGATCTACCATATCTGAAAATACTGATACAATCATATCATACACAAGAAATTGGGTTCATAATACCATTGACTTTTCAAGCTTGAAAAATAAGTATTATCACAAAACTTTCAATAAGCTGCAGTTATGTTCGACCGAAAAAAAAAGTTACACTTATGGCGTGATAATTGGTTACATGTCATTATTGGATGAGTAAAACGTGTGCTTTGAGCTATATAGTGATTAGGTAAATTGAATTCTTCTGCATGTCAACTATCTAAGGGTGATCATGTAGATGAAACCTCTTATAAATATTATTTGGCTTCTGAAGGCAATATTAATATGTCAGAATGAATAATGGAAATGTAAAGTACTCGGAAAAAAAACCAGTTGATGATAAGAGGGAAAAAGAAAGAGGGTCACTAGCCTTCTTTATACCACAAAACAAGGACATTAGCTGATTTGAAAGATACTTCACAGGGAAGAATAATTTGAGAGCTTAAGCATTTTTGCAATATGTAATGACAATTGGCAAGCTATATTTAAATGTCATATGTGAATTTTCACCATCATAAAAGGGCCAAAACACAAGACAAAAAGAAGGAAAATGACAAATACCACTAAAAATCGTAAATTATGCTCACTGTGATATAAATATCTTCAACTATTTTCCGTGTCATGAAAAATCCAAACTCATACATGTGTGACATATACACCCTTTATTACAATTTCATCCGGAAGATATTTATCACACTGATATAAGTTTGCAGTTTTTTATGACACGGAAAAAAGTTTGGGGTTGTGATAAGTTTAGGAGTTTTAGTGGCAAAAAAATATTTGGGATATTTGCGTCATAGCATGTATAGTTTGGGATTTTTTGTTATATTAACCCTAAAGAAAAAGATAGAAAAGTTAGCAAATTAAAGATAATGACAACAATATAATTAATCTCGTCCCCGAAATATAAAACTCCTAAATAGAAAGAATATAGTATAGAGAATTGTCCTAAGCTAGATAAATTAATACAAAAGAATACTTATTACATGTGATCCCATCATAAGAAACAAAGAAGAAATTTTACAATTACTGTTAGAAATTGTAGACGTGGGTCTAGTCATTACCGACTGTCGTACGTGACATGCTGACGTGGACAACTTTACTTGAACCAACGTTCTAAGTGGACCATTATGTTAGTAATTTCTAGCGTCAAGTGGCCGGACGGACAGTGGAACTTCGCGCAAAATATATTTAGGATTGAATTGATATCCATACAATTAATTTAGGATAGATTTGGTAATGTTCGCTTCCTTAGTTGATTTGACTATTAGATATTGCCTATTTGACTTTTTGTCTCATTGGCATTTCTCTCATTTTGTCCGGCTTTCTTCGCTTTCTTTCCCTTTTCTTCCCATCTAATTTTCCTTCCCTTTCTACCATTCTAAACCTATGTCGCGACACACTTTCGCTCTTCATCAATTTGGTATGAGAGATTGGTTAGTGTGTGTCCTACTGTTGCACAATGACCCAAGGAAATTCAGGAATTGATTTTTCACGCCTGATTCCACATAGGTGAGATTTTAGTGGAACTTGTAGGATTGGCGTCAAGTCTTAAGACCCCATGGAATCATCCGTGAGGTGTTCAAATATTTCACGTAAACGTTTTCTTTCTAAATACTGTCTTCATTAGTTATGAACACTAATTATCAAGATAGTTATAAATTTATAACAACTTTGATCGTCAAAATTATATCATAATTACCAAGATA